AAGAATGCATTGTTCGGAATGGCTAAGATGCTACGCAGGACCCTCAATCTCCCAGGCCTCTGGAGAATGATCCGGGATTGAGGATGACTCTAGATTGCAGCATTGGGGTATTAGAATAATATTAATTATAGCAAAATTCCTACTTGTAATTTAATTTTTTTAAGAATTTTTTTATTGATATATTACTATATTTAAAATGATTATGTTCAAATTAAATTTTTAAAGTTTTATTAAATTTGAATGACTTTATAAAAAAGAATTAAATTAGATCTTTAAAATAATTAAAATATCATTTGTGAAGAAAGCCATTTATTTATTTAGAAAAAGAATTTTTTTAAAAAAAGGGATATTATTTCCAATTTTGATAAATGGTAAACGAAAATTTTAAAAATTATCCTTTTATTCGTACTGGTTCCATTAAAGTTATTCAGCTTTTATAATGTAAAGTTTTTTAAGGTTTTGCCGATATTGGCAGTTTTGAAAATGTATCTCGTCGATATTTTGGTTTTAATGCCGACTTAAGGGTTCCATGCGCTGACGAAGACACCGAAGATAAGGAGCTCTTCACCTGAAAATAAATTTGGCAAATTATTATGAATTGTAAATTTATAACCTATAATTTATAATACTAACAAATTATTTTAAATTTGCAATAAAAATATTTAAAAAATATTTAAAAAATATATATATGAAAATATGAAAATATAAAAATATGAAATTTACTAAAATTCTCGAGAAAAAAGTTTAAACTAACTGCTGCTTTAACAGTTTTTTCACTTGTGATTGCATTAATTAAAGCAAATAAAAAGATGATTGCCAACAATTTGTTCATTTCTAGCTGAAACGTCAAAAATGCAATTTTTTATGAAAATTAAAATTATTTATAATTAAAAATAAAAAGATAAAAATGTTAATTCATTTAAAAATAAAAATAATTCATTTATTATGGCTCTGATTAAACAAAAATTTTAAAGTGATTTATTATATTTTATTTACTATATTTTATTATATTTTATTATTTAAGTGAAAAATAATTTTTCGTCCCAAAAATACCAATTTTATTTATAAAATTATTGTCATAAATTTCAAATATTGCGAGGAATAATCGAATTAATTAAAATAAAAATTAGTTAAATAAAATTAAAAAAGAGTAAATAATTTCACCAAATGAACTTTGGAAAATCTCAAAGTTTTTGCCTTAAATACTAACTTTCAATCAAAATATTTTTGTTTTTCAAGCATTTAATAAAAATGTTTTCGTCAATTTCGATGTTTGCAAGAAATTTTACATAATTTCAAGTTTTGCGAATCGAGTTTGCAGATGGATTACCGCATTACAGCTCATTTTATACTATCAGAAGTGGAAGATGTCGACTTTATTTATATCAGCATAGCAGTTATTTTCACTAAAACTCGTAATTATTTATGTCTATTTATTTAATAGTCATATGATAATGAGCAAAAATTTTCATGAAAGCTAGCTTATGTGATAAGTCTAAGGTACGAAGCATCGGCCTCGTACAGTTTTCTCCGCCGCCTGTGCAGATTTTTCTAGATTTTTCACCTTGTGTGAGTTACCTTGAGGATCCAATCGCTATTTTTGATTCACTTGTGATTAAATGAATACTTGAGATTTTTTTTTTTATTATAACTTCCATTCTTTTCACCATTTTCTTCATTAAAAATTATCAGCGGAAATTTGAATGATAAGTTTTTTGATCGATGAACAGTGATCAGGTTTTGTTGCAATTCAATTTCCATCTAGATAATTTTTTTCTATATAGTTTAACTGTTTATATCATTCGACCTAATTTTGGCATTTTATAGAGAAATTTCAAGAACATACGTAATCAGTTGAATGTTAATCTGAATAAAATATTCACTACATCCATCTTACCTATTTAATTTAAAGGATGGAAGGCAGCCTAGTGGATAATGAATCAGATCACCAAGCTGAGGTATAAAAATAGGTCTGTTACTATCGTTGACGGAAGCAAATAATTTGTCCTGGTTACTACCGCCGACAGAAACAAATGAACCCTACCATTAAAAATTTCGGATTGTGCTTATCACCCACTTGTACTCCTGTTGCCAAGTGGTCCTCTCGCAATATTTCTAACGATATTAACAGTCAACGACGTTGGCCCAACCAGAAATGTTGATTGTAACTATTTATATTATTTCTTAGGCCAATAAAATTATTTGAAATTTTAAATTTTTTCAAATATTTTTCCGTTAAATTTTATTCTTTATTAGTGAATGAATGAATTATATTCATAGCATATCTCGCAAGTTCTTCGTTAAAAGCAGTTTTTGGAGAAAGGGATTTTTACTCGATCTATTTTCAGTTCTGAAAGGAAACATTGGCATCCAAAGATTCACCCACAATCCATAAATGGAATTTAACTGTAAATCACAACTGCACTTCACTTTTTACTTTACTCTTTATAGCTCTTTTTCTTCTTTTCTTTCAACCAGCATGTAACGTTTAATTGTTCTTATTTAACAAATAAGACTAGAAAATTCATCAATCTATATTTCCCGAATTCTATTTCTCATTTGCTTTCAGCTGGTTGTTATACGGAAATCTTAAAATACGATATCCTTATTAGCCAGATTGTCACTTCAATGTGCAGTATGATTCGACCAATGTAGTTGGCATGTGAAAAATAAATCTGATAAAAATCCGAGTTATGCAGTGGACCCGAAATAATTCTATTCTCTAAATAATTCAGATAAAAATATCTCAAGTACCACACTAAACTGGCTGATAAAGCAGAAAGCCTAACAAGAATTTAACCATTAAATGGTTAATGTAATAATATTGTTATGGCTGATTTGATTGATAACGTTTTTAATATTATCAGAAATTAGAAGCCTGCAATAATTTTATCTATCTTTCATTAAAATTCTCTTATCCTGAAGAACAAATTATAGAAGAAAATATAAACAGAAAAATGAAGAAAATGATTTTAAAAAAAGGCATAATAGCGAACTGAATTTCTTCAATGAAATTATATACAAACCCTGCATAAAGCATTTAGCAGCTTTTTGTCCAACTGACATCACTGATAAATACAAAGATAATACTAATATCAGAAATACAAAAAAAATTATCTTAAGGGTGAGTCTGAATGACAAATCAATGGTTCATTTTAATAATAATCACAAAGAATATAACGTACAACAGAAGAAAACATGGCTCATCTCACAATATGTTCGAGAACCTAAAGACCAGAAAATTTTTATTAAAGTCTGGAAAACCTTATAAAAACCCATTAATAAAAAAAAGCCATCTGGTGAAATTTCAAGCCGAAGTCTTGTTCTTTTCCAGAATCGACTAATAAAAAATTTATAAAAATTTGCCTAAAAAATTTCCAATTCATCGAATCCATAAAGCTAAGAATAACGAAAAAAAAATTATATAAAAACGAAAAAATAAGAAATAAACATTTTAATAAACTAAAATTTAGAATAATTTATAATTTAAATATATAATTTAAATGCCATAAAGGAACCTAAAAATTTTCAATAAATAATAAATTCAATTGCCAAAAAATATTCTCATGAGAAACTGTAAAATTGTAAGATTGATCCCACAAAAAAAAAGAAAAAACAAAAACATTCGTAAAACTAAACAGCACCAGCTGCGGCCAAAAACAATGTTATTAAGCTCTGAATAACTGCAAAATTCTTCAATGTACATCAGTGATAATAAAATTATAAGAATTAATCACAAAAAATAAAATAATCTACGCGACAAAGTTTGATGGCTTTCACTATTCCAGCGCTATAAATAGATTCGATTGCTTGTAAAAAAAAATGTATTTCACTTACCATCACACTTTGAGTAAAATCAACAATAAAAAAGCTAAAAATAAGGGAGAAATTTAAAAAAATAATGTTAATACAAAGGAGATCATTGCATGAAAAACAATGCTTGTTCGTTTACCTAACGCTAAATATTTTCACCCATACGAGATAGAACATTAAATATTTTTCATGAAAATATGAAACCTTCATGAAAACAAAAAATGTCCTTTAAGAAGACATGCAAAAGATTTCGTTCGGTAGATTAAAGTGCTATTTTTTATATAAAATCCAAGGCTTAGGATTAAACGGAGAACTAGAAATAAAATCCATAAAAATCCATAAATTCATAAATCATTTCATCTCACCAAAATTAAATAAAATTAGCTATTAGCAAGGATATAAAATAAAATAACTAAAATTAAAATAAAATTAAACAAGAACTGCAATGGAACGAATTCAACAACCAATCGAACAAACAAAATAGATAAATTTTCTTTCATTTGGCTTGACCACGACAAAACAATAAACCATGAATAGCACAATAAAATATAAACTGAGATCTACGAAAAGAACTGGAAGACACTTAAATTAAATGAAAACTAGTGGAGTCAAAAAACTAGTGAATGGCAATTTAATCAGAATCACTAGCATCATCATCCTCCGAATAATAATTAGCACTAGTTTGTCGCATTAACGGCGATGCATCATTTTGATTCTTAAGTTTCGTTGATCTACTCACAACTGAATGGCCATTGACGTGACCTAAAAAATTGATCAAGTTTCCTCGACAAATAATTCGAATATTTTTATGAATAGATTAGAAAAATTCAACCATAATCCTTGAATTAAACGAGTAAAAAGGTTAACTAAGGCCTAAATTAAGAATTTTCTGGACGCATTAAAGGGCCTTAGAGGGTGCAATGAATTAAAGTACAAATGATGCCCATTCATAGGAAAAAAAAGAAGAATTTCGAGATTTCAGTCGAATTGGATGAAATGTTTTCTCATACAAACAGATTTTAAAAAATTCGCAACCTTCTTATGGACAAACAAAAAACTTATATAATATAGTATAATATAATATAAACTTATATTTATATAATACTTATATAATAAAACTTATATAGAACAAAAATAGACTGATAAAAAATTCATCTTCAAAATCCGTTTAGAATGTAAATAATAATTTATAGTTTGTAAAAAGTACCAGATTGTGGAGTATGAAAGGGATGTACGCCATTAAGAGTCATGACGGTTTGCATTGGTGCTGGAGATGGCACCGAAAATGCTGTATTGCTTAAGCTTGGTGCAGTTCCAATTGATGTCCCAGTGACACCACGCATTAAACTAGCACTCTGCGTAACTGATGACTGACGACTTCCTCTGTTAATGGCACCACTGGATCCTTCAAAAAATAAAATCGAATAAAAAATTGACCATAAAAAGGTATCTGGATAAAATATTATCTGGTTAACAATTAATAATAAAACATGGGTCATCAAAATTAACCAGAATGTGAGCTGTTAGCACGATTTTGTTGATGTGAAAGAACAGATTGTGATGGGCTTGTAAGCGACCAAGTTTGCAGCCTCGAATGAAGTTCCGAAAAGCAAGGTCGTCTTTCTGGATGTTCATGCCAACATTCTACCATTAAGCTAAAATATTTTCAGTAAGAAAATTTTAAAAAGAATTTATTCTAAGCAATTCTAATGGCTCGTTCTATTTGTGTATTGATCAGGTGTAGTGAGATCATTTTTTTGTCCCACTATATAAATAAAGCTACCAGTGCATCCAGACGACTGTTCATTGGACCCATATGAAAGATCATTAGAAATGAATATAGCCAGCAGAATCAAAAATGATAAGCGTTGTTAGAAGAGAGCAAAGAAAAATTACCAAATAACCAATATTAGGCCAATCCAGTTTTCATTAGGTTACCTCTTTTTTAAAAATAATGGCTAACGATTGATAAGAGTCAAACACGGAAGAATAAAAAGAGATGAACCTGTAGATATTTGTTGGACAATTTAATGGACATTCTAATAGACTCCTCATTGAAATTAATTCAATAACTTCTTGATTTGAATAGCCTTCATATGGTTGCTTGCCATATGAATAAATTTCCCAGAGGGTTACACCAAATGCCCAAACATCACTCGCTTCACTATACCGGCCATATTGAATCGCTTCTTTAGACATCCATCGAATAGGCATCCAATCACGATGAATCGACTTAAAATAAATTATTTTAACGACCTCATTTTGCTTGCCATTTAACATCTTTTACAAATAAATAAGAGCCAAAAAACAATTGCTCATAAATGTACTTCAAAAAATGACCATCTGCTTCAATGAATTTCGAAATCATAAATCATTTTAGAACCAATGAATTACATTTAACTGACTAAATAAAACTCAAAATTTCCATCCATTTAAAAAAAATTTTAATACCTTGTAATAATCCTTATCGTAATTACTTCGAAATAAACCAAAATCTGATATTTTAATAATACGTTGATCGCCAACAAGACAATTTCGCGCAGCCACATCACGATGAATATATTTTAAACTAGCAAGATACTCTAAACCATACGCAATCTGAAATATAATAGAAGAATTAAATAACTATAAATAAAATATAATAGAGCAATATAAATAATATAGAGCAACAAAAAAATGACTGTCAAAAATTATCGTTTTCAAGCTATGAATACTTTAAGAGTATAATAACTGTCGTGGGCCAAAAAAATTACTAGACTTTCTGTTCAAAATGAATAATTCAATACTTGTACAGCAATTCGAATGAAATCTTCGTTATCAGCTGCAATTCGCTCTGCATCAAAAGTTGGTTCACTATATCTGCAAAAAACAATTTAGCAGTAAGAAAAATAGCTATTCGAAAGAAATCTTCGTTATTCTCTTAATAGCTATTTCTTCTATGATTAATCTGTATTCATTGATTATAAATTGCTCAAACTCTGAATAGCTTTTCCTAGAAAGTTGGACAGAACCTTAGACCAGAACCAAAATTAAACTTAAAAGATGAATAAATATATAAACATACCCAACAACTTTTGGTGCTCTTAAACGTAGGAAATCATGTAAATCGCCATGAACCATATATTCAAATACTGCACCCAGTTGTTTTGAATCGAAATAACAAACACCAAGTAATCGAATCACATTTGGATGATCGAACGGTGCCAAAGTACGAATTTCCTCCTCGAATCTTTGCCTATTCATATCGCTGCATCCGGGTTTTAATGACTTTATCGCCACCTGAGATTATAAATTTATTTTTAATCATTTCAATGCTATTGTATAAATAATTATCGATAAAAATGGACTGAATGATAGAAATGATAGAAATTTTGATAGGCAAAAAAAAAGAATTTGCATGAGGAAAGAATTTCAATAATGGAAAAAATTTATTTCTAATGCATTTGCAATTACAATTTTCATGAATCACTACAGTGTAATCCATTTCAACAATCCAAAATATGATTTAAAAAAACATCGAAATATTAATTGGACGGAAATTTAGATTAGATTAATTCACCTGTAATGGATCACCACTAACCAATGAGCCAAGCCAGTTACCTCCATGAATAACTGCAAATTGATTTTCGCCAATTAATTCACCAATTTCTAACTGAAAAATTTAAGATATAATTCACCAATATTATATAAAGAAAAAAATTACCGTCTAAAAATTAAATAATATGAATTTTTTTTCAAAATAATGTGATATTATTTAAAATAAAAAAGAAATATTGTGCTATATTATAAAAATTCAAGAACCTGATTCGTTTGAATTTCAGGTATTTGATAAGGTTCGATAGGTGGCTCAGTTGAAGGACGAGGACTATACTGAGCATAATTAGCGGTCTGATGTTGCAAATATCCAGTATTATTATTATGACCAGATAACAAAGCCATTTCAAATCCACCACCCGTAGCTTGACTCACTGGTGTTGTACCATTAACCATTCGATAATATGTAGCATTTGTGGCGCTGAAAAAAAAAAAAAAAACAAGAAACATCGATTCTTCAATCAGTCATTAAGAGAGTCATTCATCACTTCCATTAATTTAAAATCCATCACAAAAATTTATCAAAGAATATCAAAAAGGATCAGAGGAAAAAATGAAGAAGTACCATACCTGTTTGTATTGCTTGATCCATTACAACTTTGTAGATGAACATTTTTCTTAGCACTTAAACCAGTTTCTTTCCTTTTTCGCCGTTGACAAATAAGACAACAAAATAACAAAAATAAAAGTGATAAAAAAGTAATGCCACAAAGACTTGCAACTTGCCATCGATGTGGTATACTTGTCCAAACTTCCATTATATCACCAATTAATGAATCCTTAATAATAAATAGTTTCAAAAAAAACACTTTCTACTCACAATTCAAAATTTATACACAAATACCTACAAAAAATTTATATTTAACAACAACATAGGCCATTTCCTGTTTAGCTAGCTTCATATGCTTCTAAAGAGCCAGAGAATCATTTAAGCTTTCCAATAACCCCTTACTTCTGATGGCAGAACTAAGCCCATCATGGGACTAAAGATACAATTAGTGTTTCAAAATCTGAAGCTTTATACAAGAATGTTGCTCAAAAATGAATATTCAAGTTTTTATCAAGCTGATAATCATTATCATGGCCAAGAATTAGCAAATAATTAAACCGAAGCGATAAATAAAAAGCAAAAAATTTACTGAATCGTCTATCGTTCCCATGATTTCACGTTGATGGAGATGAGGATACATATTTTTTGGACATTGGGCGATGTCGCAGTACTCTTCTTGTCCATGAGGAAGGGAATAACACCAAGGACTAGTTTTTTTACCACCTGGATTACGACAATAATTTCGACTCTGTCGTAAAATTGGGTAACGTTCAATATTAAATTCCCTTCAAATAGATCATTTATAGCAATAAAAAGGAAAGAAAATGTTTTCTAATCTTTTCATGAAATCAAAAAATCGCAAACCTTGATGTACTCTGTGCCCAATTCATGCATTGTTTTCCGCTTTTAGTCGATGATGCTCGTCCTTCATATAACTTACCACTTTCAATAAAACACCAATCAGGAATTTTTTCAGACGAAGACGAATCGAATTCGTTGTCACTTTCCAAACGCTAAAATATTGTATAATAAAGCATATCTCCAGAACTTCAAAAATTTTCTTATAGAATTACTTGGAAGAAGAAAAGTCGACGATAGGTAATGCAGAAGATGGAAAAAACCAAAAAATGATAAGAAAAAATGGTAATTTTTTTATTTTTTTTATTTTATGATTTTCTTTATTCAATTTATTTTTTCAAGAACCCTCAGCAAAACTGTTCAGACTCGCTCCGCTGGCTTATCCCACTAGACGAACATGCCAGGGAGTTCCTTAGCGTTAGAAGTACACGCCAGCATCACCCGGACTTGTATAAATCGACTTACATAAAAAAAGCAAAGAATACCTTTTGGCTGAAGCTTAAGATCGATATGCAGTTCGCATTTGCATTTAGCGATTGACATTTGGGAAAAAGTGCTTTTGGGTCATCGCCAATCAAATCGTGCTCGGCAGCTAATGCCAATTCTTTTGGGCATACTTCTGCCTATAATTATTATTTCAATATTCTTATGATCAAATAATATAGAACTAAATTCAAATAATATAGAAAAAAACCTGTAAGGCTTCGCAATCTTTTCGGCAAATCGACAATATTCGCGGTATTCCCGTTGATATTTCGTGTTGCATATTCGTATTTCGATCGCATATTTTGTACATATGATAGCAAGCAACTGCATGAGAATATTCCTTACATTTCGACGAAATTTCTCGACTATTATTTATGAACATCATTGCAGCTCGTAAATTTCGATCTGCAGTTGGTTAACTGATGTTAAAACTAATACCAAGAAAATCCATCTGTGGAACTTTTATGAATAGTAAGGAGAGACTATTGCTGATCTTCAATGAGTGTCTTGAAAACAGTAGAATTATTGTTTAAAAATCTGAAATTCTTTGAAATGACCTAAAAAAGACCGAAACAGAAAGCGAAAATGATGACAAAGATATCTAAGATAAAGATAATTGTCTCAGTAATATGGTTCCATTCTTGTGCAGAAGTATCAGATCAGACAGAAGGCTTTATTCTCAAGTGATTCTAAGAGTTTCTCACTAGCAGCAAATGCAGCAGGCCAAACCAAATCAAAAATATGCTGTGAGAAGAAGGAAAATGTAATCGCATAAATTAGTTCAGTGTGATTTGAAAAGGATTTAAGAAAGGATTTGTTTGAGAAAAATAGAGGAGTTAAGGAGGAGAGTTAAGGACCTAAGAAAAAAAGATTAACAACTAACCAATGTCATAAACATCTTCGCGATTTTCACTAGTAATCATAATGAATCGACCATTCAAATATTCTCGACAAGCTTCGCCAGCATACAATTTGCAATCACCAATTTGTAACTGCACCGTATCAAGCCATCGATCAGTCGGTGACATTGGTGCAAAACCATTGCCAGCAGCATTATCTGGAACACTCCAAAAATCATCATCATCTTCTTCACTCGGCAAACGACCCAAGCCTCCCGACACTGATGAACTTGCTTGATCCATATCCTGAAAATGCGGAACGTCAATGACATTCGAAGACATTTAATGACTTGGCTAGCAAGCAGGCAGCAAACTTATAAAGACAAGCCTCTTCAATATAATCTCGATCCTTCTCAAATTTCGATATTCTGGATGTCTTCCCCTTAATATCTGTTTTTAGGACCTTTGATGGTGCACCTGGCACATTGTTCACCTGAAAACTGATTCATTCATTAAATTCTAAATGCTGCCAAATTTCGACAAAAAACTTATGAAAAGGCCGACTAAAAGTCAAAAATATACAAAAATTTGTTGCATAACGTCGAATATTAGACTTTATCATTAATTCTCGATTTTATTTTACAATAATTTGCTTCCATACAAATAAAAAGTAACTTATATGACTACCCCTCGCTACCCCTTTCTTAACTAAGATCCCTAGCGATGGAATGCTCGGAGGTATGAATAGGCGAGTGGACAGCGACTCAGATCATCATTCTGAGATTTTTGCTCTCCTAAAAAGATTAAAGTGATGCAGACGATGCACTTATAATTCTGTCGCTAAGCGACTCTATGACGACAAAAAATTTTTACCCTTTAAAATTCTTATTTACCAAATTATAGATCACAAAATTTAGGAGCGGAGTGGCTCAGTGGGTTATTGTAGAATTCGAGGCGCTGGTGTTGAGGTTTTACTGTCCGCAGAAGTAAGTTTGTCCAGAAATACGGGTGAGCTGACGACTCATCTCCATCGTCAGGGTACCCCCTGGCATATTTGTCCAGTGCGACAAGCCAGCGGAACGAATCTAACCAGTAAGAGCTTTTTTAAAAAAACGACAAAATCATTTAATTATAGGCATATATTCGATCATAAAGAGTAAATTATAAAGTTGCTATGACTGACAAAGGTCAAATACAAAGTACCACAGGCCAAAATAAGGGAGAAAAAAAAGGGATGGAGAGGAGGATGGATGAATAGATAAATGAAATCGTAAGAGCCAATTCGTTTAACCATTCCTAATTTTAAAATAGTCTTTTCTTATTACTCTTTTTCTTTTCCTCCGAATTTTATAGTAAAAATAAGTACACTTTTTATTTTCACTTTATTCCTATTTTAATATTTGTAAAAACAAAGAAATATTTCATTTCTAAATCTCTCTCGTCTCGTTATATTATTTCCTTCCATATCAATAATTATGGAAACCTTATCGCCTGGTCAAACCATTGGTCTGCTGGTCGACGTGGCCACTTCGACCTGCTTAATTAACGACCTATTAACCGACCAGTCGACCGCCACTGTAACTAATCAATTAATTACTTCGGTGCGTATCGATTCATTAGTTTTAAACTAAAATTAACCTAATTGATGTGTTCACTGATAAATACCGTAATCGACCGACTTAAACGGCGCTTAAATGATAAATGATAAAATGGGCAACTAAATTTCGTAATGTTCGCAGGTAATCTACTGAAAAATCTTTAAATGGCCTAAAAAGTATTCAATCGAAATATTTTTAAATAAATGGCCGAAACCAAAGTGTTCAAAACTAGAAAAATTACTTTAAATAATATGAAAAATTTTCCGGCAGAAATTCACCACATTTAAATAAATTTAAAAAGAAGCGATTATCGATTGTGACCTATGACCTCTAATGTTTAATGCTTATTTAGTAAATTATTGCAATAAACGAATAAATATTCATAATTTAACAAATAAAATCAATTTGAATACTTAAAACAATATAAAAAAGGAATTAAGAAATATGTGAAAAATAAATTTCTTTGTTTAAATAGCGTATTTGTAAAAATTCTTTTTTTTGAAAAAATAACTGAAAAGTTCATTGGCTTTCGAAAAATAAACATTTTGTTTCATAAAAAGAAAGAATTATTTGTTCAACAAAACTAATAAATTTTATTGCTATTTAATATTGAAATTCATAAACCAAAAATATATCTTGAAAAAAAATGATTTAAAAAATAATTTATTATCCTTAAATAAGCTCATAAATACTCGGTGAATTGAAAGAGATCGGTTTAGAGATAAATAAATGATAATGAGATATGATTAAGGCTTTTTTCACGCATCATTTTGGAGACGCACAATTAGCGATTCTCTAAACTCGACGCGGAAAATAATAAAAATAATAATCTTTAATAAATAATAAATAAAAAAAATTCACCAAATTTGCGGTATAAATCCGACAATTAATGCGTTCCAAATAGCGGAATGCAAAATAATTGTAAGGGAAGAAAAATGAATTTTTTAGGATTACTGTAATTGAAATTTTCAACAACAAGAAAGAAAGGTAGCAAAAATAAATAATATTAATAAATAAATAATAATAAATAATATTTATTAACTAAAAAGAAATAAAATTACAATTTATTTTTAATTTAAAACGAAATAATTGTCGAAAAATTATAATCGATTCGAAAATCATTTAAAAATTTTGTAAATTTTTTAATAAAAATTTTCTTAAATTTGTAATAATTTCAACGTTGAAACGGATTCAAAAACAGAAATATATAAGTGATTAGTGATTAATGATTTTAAATGATAATTTTAAATGATAAACGAAGGAAGAAAGAAAAAGGATTAAAGATGAATTGAAAATGGATTTACATGATGAACCAATATGTATCTCAGCAGAAGGCAAATGATATGAATCGCTTTCGATATTAAAATAAAGATGTGAAGAAAAACCAAATGAATAGGGGGATGGAACGAGGGTTGAGATGAATGGTTGGTTGGCTGAGCAAAAGATAGATGAGATGAAATGTGCTGGGTTTGCTCGTATCACTCCACTCGACTAGCGTTCATCAATCATTGTTGCAGGTTTGCATATATTTATTCACGCAAATACTACGAAAATTAACAAATGAAATCGATAAATTCTCATTAAAGTTATGTAAAATATTTAATATTAAATAACGAGAATTTGTAAATTGTTGGTTAGATTGGCTCCGCTGTCTATAATGATAAGGCTTTTCCAATTTAATCGATCCGCCAGCTGGGAGTAGCAAAAGTAAGTGACCGACTCCTTCTTGCACCATCTAAGCCAGTTCAAAATTTTTTCTGACTGTATCAGTGCAAGTCTTCACTGGCGCACTCTTCGCTTTTAACGCCATATAACGCTTAGCAAGATATTTGATATTAAAAGATATGAAGATAAAATGTGTCTTAGATATAAATGATAAAAAACAGATGGCTTCTTAATATCCTTCTCTCGCATTGGCCATGTTTCGTAATTATATAAATAGTATAGAATGCAGCCAGATAGGTTTTGTTTTGATGGTGATTTCGTGATGATTCCATGATTCCATGATTCTCACCAAACTGATGAATGAATTTAGCTTCCAAAATGATTGAAGTAATACGGGTTATTATTTCATCTTACCTCTTCTCATTTGGTATAAGCATGAATTCACATTAAAAGTCCGACACCTCCTCAAATCATAGTGAACTGATAAAAATAAAAGTAGATATTTTATCAATGTTTGCTTTATAAGATTTTCATCTTCCCGATTGAGCTCGATTTTTGTTGGAGCTGTCTACACATTATCTAGAAACTCTTGCATTACATCATAACTGTCAGCAAAAAAAACTACTTCATCTGTTCAAAGTACTATGTAATACAATGTTCTGATTTGTACCCTCTTGAGTACCATCAAGTGATTTCCAGTCTGTTGATTATAGCGGAAAGAAAGACTAATAGCAATCCAGCTCAAAAAGATTTCCCATAATGACTTTCGATAGATACGGTGTTCCTCACCAGGTCGAATGGTTTTCTCTGAAACACCGTCAATATGCTAACAGCCTCCAGAGCGTCGTTCTACCAATTGAATCGAAAGCGAGTTGCCAGTATTTGAAGCAATGTTACAATACCTTAGTATGAATTAATACAATAAGAATCTTGCAATACATAATTTTACATAATTTTTGCATTACATAATTTTTTCTAAACTTCTTAATTTATTATTTCTTTGAATTATAGTGATAACACAATATCACTACGAAAATGAAATTATTCAATGAAATAAAAGCACCATTATAAAATTTCGACGATGATTGGCAATTATAAATCTCTGAAAATAACGCAAAGAAAAAATTTATATTTGCCTTCTTATATTTATGACGAGATAAGGCCGTCTTAGCATCTGCAAAGATTAAAAGAAAGCCATCATTTATCCTTTGTCAACATTACTGACTACATTTGTGTTAATATTCTATATTGCCTTTTGCAAATTGATGAATTAAGCTAAACGCCATCATTATACATACATCTGGTTAAAATTTTTCATAAATCTGCAGCAAAGCTAGCAGATGATATAAAATATGAATTATCAGATAGTTTAGCTTTATCAAAAAATTAGAAATAATGGATCGAGAAATATCAAGGAAAAAGGAAAGTTAAAGAAATTTTTGTTAAATCGGAGCTGAATAAAAATGAAGGATTATACTAACTCGAAGTATTCCAGTAGTATTGACAGATGCGACACTATTACTAACGATACATTGATAATAACCACTATCGAAAACATCCAAATCGGTAATAATCAATCTTGACCAATATTCTCGATTTTTTATTTTCGTTTTACGACTTTTTTCAATTGGAGCATGATTTTTCAGCCAACTTAATGAAATACAAATTAAAGAAAAAAGCGAACAGTTTTTTATCACTCATTAATCAGTGATAAATCACTTTTATAGAAAAATTCAACCAATCTTTGCTCATCTAAAGATTTTGATTTTTTCTTTATTTCAGTTAAGAGTGAATACCTTTATAACAAAATCAAAAATCATATAATCATAGAAAAATTAAAAGAATTTAATGAATGAAAAAAAAGATGGTTGATAATAAGTCAATAGGTATCGCCATTTACTAAATTCTGTAACGATTGGCTCAGCCCAGGAAAAGAACCAAAACTTCGACTGACAGTCAGGAAAGATTTTGAACGCAAAGTCCACTGATGTATAGTGGGAAGAGAATGGCTTTTATAAATTTCAAGTATGACATGCAAGTATGATAAGCATTTGATAAACAAAGAGACCAATGTTGTTCCAGCGTTGTGACTAGCCCAACTAATAAATAATGACAGCTATTTGGAGAAAAAAAGGAATAATGCGAATTTAATAGTCAAAAATCAAGTGAAATATTAAATGATAAAAACTATCAGTCAGAATAATAAAATAATAATAAGGAACTACGTGGATATAAAGTTAATAACTACTAATAATTTACACTGCTAATAATGAAATAAAATAAATTTAACTTAAATTTATTAGTCGAGAAAAATTCCCCACTAAAAAGAATCGCAAATTCATAATAATAATTATTATTACCACCATTATTATTGTTATTTCTATATTATTATTACAATATTACTATTGTAATTTTGTTATTTTATCATTATTATCATTGTTAATTAGCGTTATTATTATTAAATATTATTATTAAATATTAATTAAGAATTTATAGTTTAGGTGGCAATAAAGTTATTGTACCTGAAATGTAATGGTAGAGGATTTCCAGCAGCTTCACATTTAAACCTTACTTCATCGCCAGAATTTCGCGTAATATTATTTAGAAATGAATTTAAACGTATGTAAGGCCTTTTCGATGGCGATTCGTTTTCATTCATACTGAAAAAAATAAAGGAAATGAAAATATTATTTATTATTTTCTTTAATTATTTATATCCATTAAAAATATTTCATATTTAAAAAATTCTGGAAAAAAAAACAACTTTTTATTTAATTAAACAACGGTTGACTTCCATTTTTTAACGTTTTTCAATTAGCAAATTTTTGTTGAATTACATTAAACAAAGATTTCTTAAAAAATTTGGAAAAGAAAAAATCCTATTTTAAAGAAAAAAAACAAAATTCTCCATTTTGACGAAAAGATTTAGAAGATAACAATCATCTTGAGAGTTCAGTGAAACAATATTTTTTTATAAACTGTAAATTATCTTTGCCTAAAATAGAAGAAATAGAATTTGAAATATTTTAAAAAAGATAAGAAACGCGCGAATAGATATGGAAGAGGATTTATTATGATATAAATATCAATGATATTTTAATAATAATAAGAATAACAAAAAAATTCTCACGCTTTGTGGGTGGTATAGGATCTTAACTTCGACTCCTCTACCCGAAGCCTGGCAGAATAAGATAAGTTTCCAGAGGGTCAATGACTTTCACTGGAAAGGTAGAGAGGATTAACTGCGATTGTCGTTACATTCCATACTAATCGCCCAACTTAATCACTACTCTGTTCTGGCGCTATTTTAATTAATAATAATAAATAATGATAATAGTGGCCAAGGATTTGGCTGTGGTCAAGTCTTTGGCCAAGGCTTAGAATTAAAATAATAATAATAAAGATTATGGGAATTACATAAATTAAATGAAATGGGAAATTTATCGAAAAATTTCCGAGTAAAAACTTCAGAAATGTTATAAGATTAAGTTAAGACGATAATTCAAATGAAAACATTTCATTAAATTTAGTAGTGTTTGGTTTATTGGAAAATCCAACGAAAATTGAATTTTGCGAATTTGTTGACTGAATTAAATTAGCTTCAAGCGAGATTTTTAGCCAAATCGAAATGATTTTAATGAAATGACTTTCTAAATGAAGAAAAACGAACGATTAACAAAAAATTTATCATATAAAAATCTTAATTTTTTGTTCTTTTCGCGAATTTTTATTGCTTTTCATAACAATAAAATAAATTAAGTGGTTAGCGCACATATTGGCTTAGAGACTATTCTGGCAATTAGGCTTTCGAAGTTCTAATGAGCGATTTGCCGTAAAGAATAATGTTTTCCAATTTAATAATTTAATAAAAAATGATAACTGTTGCTATAATTAAAGTGTAAAATATAAGGAATACATAAAAAATCACCAACGCAATTGAAATAAATGAAAAGAAACTATCTTTCGAAGCTGTTTCGGATAATCCATTTATAAAGAACTCCCCTTCTATGCTCAATTAACTCACTGGCAAAATGATCTTCTTAATCTAATAATCAATGTCAATTGGAAATGGTAAGTGATAAGTGAAAAAAATTTTTTAAAATTATCCAACATTAACACTGTGATAATCAGCTAGAAATCACAATTAGACCAACGATTCATTTCGAAAAATTATTAAAGTGGTGGCATTCCTTGTGTAACATCGCTGACTATTAGAATGTGCCAGAGAATTCATTTGTGGGCAAAAATGTAGGCAGGTCGTCAGTAACAACCCGAATTCACCCTAAATGACAAGTTTCGCCTAACTTGGAAATAGTCATTAATGAAAGTAAATATTAATAAAATAAATATTTTTTTAAAAACAATAGGCAAGAAATTAGAATTTTCTTGGAAATTTGAAAAATTTGATTTCTTTTTGCCAATATTCGACACTTTTATTAAATTAATTATAAATTAAATTGATTATAAATTTCATTTTTTGTCATAAAATATTATTTATTATTAAAATTTTGAAATATTTAAATAGTATTGATTTATTATTAAAATATTGAAATATTTAATCTTTGAAATTAAATTGATTATAAATTTCATTTTTTGTCATAAAATATTATTTATTATTAAAATTTTGAAATATTTAAATAGTATTGATTTATTATTAAAATATTGAAATATTTAATCTTTGACAAAAAAAAAATGGAATCGATTGCTGAGAAAATAGCGATACGTGAACAACGGCTGATTTATTTGTAAAATCGAAAAGCTTTAAGAATAAAAGCGAGAATATTCTATCATCTATATTATCTAAGATGTCATGAAGTCAATAAATATGTACATTTATAATTTATCTATGTATATATATATATATATGCATATATGAAATGGCTCAGTGGGTTGTTGGGAGCGCCGATGCTCAGCTTCTATTCCCCGTAGGAGTAAACCTGTCCAAAAATCAGGGTGATGCTGGCGACTCACCTCTACTTCTATTTTCTATCGCCAAGAGATTTTCTGGCATATCTATTTAGCACGATAAACCAGTGGAGCGAGCCTAATCAGTAATGGTGAAGGCTCTTAAAAGAATATATAATGAATGACAATGCGGGCGTCAGTCAAATTTCGGGTATCATGAAATTTGCAATAGGATTCCATGCAAGTTATTTTTATCAAATATTTATCAATGCATTATAAATCAACTGCTAATGAGCGCCTATTTATCTTCTCAGTTTCCATTTTAATTTATTCTTCAATTATTTTCAACTTATTTCTATAGCAAATTTATTTTCGCTTTGAAAAACATTGCCAAGTGCAAATTAATAATTCCAATACGAAAATGATAATTTAATTTAAAACGGATAAAACTACGACTTTAGATTGGGAAATGAGAGTCTTTGGTTCAAATCCTTGTTCCTGCAGTCTTTTCGTTTTTTTTTGCTCAGACAATGAGATAAACTTTAAATAACAGTAATAGTATAAGTATAAAGTAAGTATAAGTTTTACTGTGGAAATTTTCGCTCTCAGCGATTTACTTAATTTATAAATTTAATATAAATAATTGCTTAAGTAACACCTTTTAAAAAGTTTACATAATTTTTTAGCCATTTATAATAATATTTAACGCATTTTAAAAATTATTCTTTATTATTACTTTAACAAAATTTGTTGAAAAATTATCTTTAAAAAAAAATTATATCTTTAATAAATTATCTTTAAAAATTATCTTTTTGCTCATCTAACAGTTCACATTATTGCTGGTTTGGCTGGTATAGAAGGAAAGAATTAATTAAATATTAAATTTTAAATAACCGTTCTTCATAAATATTCAATGGATTTTATATAAAGGTAGCATTCACTCCTGTGGAAATTGCGAAAATGAAGATAAAGTCCGCAACTTGGTTAATTAACAAATAATATAATAAAAGTCAGGAAGAATATGATTACAGTTAACTATATGATTTATATCCATATAGTTAACAAATAGCTTTTCGTAGCTTAGATTTCTGATTTGATCTATGTTAGACTAAATTATTTATAGAACAGTTGATCGGCTGATCATCGGCTGATAATGGCTTGAGCGATGAAAACTGATAATAAAACAATTATAAAAAAAAAAGTATCGAAGAGTTTAAATCGATTGTGTTATATGAAGTTCGTTGTAATGTAATGTGAAAATGATTTATTAAATGAAATGTCTCATGCAGAAATAAAATCAAACGAGCATTGCATTGTTGCTGTGACATTGTACTAGAAATTTACAAATCGGCGATAAAATTTTGCAAATATATATTATAATACGAACTAAGTACCATAAGTAGTAAGTTATAAGCATAAGTATCGACTAAAAAATCCCAGATATATTATTTTTCTATGAAGAAGGAAAAAGGCTGGAAAATGAAGGTGACTGCATTGCTTAATGGTGTATATTGCATCCACGAGGACCTCAGCGGGTTCGGTCATCCGAGTAAACCTATCGTTAAATGTTGTACAACTCAACTAGGTACCTCTAAATCTACGAAACTCTCCAACAAAGCTGTTCATTCAGCTGAATTTTCAATCACGCAGCCTAGTGGAATGAACCAGACTTTGCAATTAGAAAAAATAAAACCTGGAACCTGGAAGAAGAAAATATCCGATGATATTATTAAACGATAATAATAAATTATCACCTATATATAGTTAATAAATTACAGAAATGACCACAAAATAAGGTCATTCACTCATAATCGTCGAATTCCGAGCCTCGTGAATAAAAGATTTTGCAGATTTTTATTTTGTTAAGCAGAGAAATTGTTAATCCGATTATAGAATAATGCAAAATCAAGCGAGTATTCTTCCGTTTAGCAAATCCAAATACTCCAATCAAAATCTTTTATTGTACTTAAATTTTTAAGTTTTTATGCAATCAAAAATGAAATTTTATGATAACAATGATTTTGAAGTACCAAAAATTGTTAAATATTAAATCGTTGCCGTTCGAGGATTCAAAAATTAGATCATTTAATTGATTAAATTCTAATTTAAACTTAAGCTTTAATTAAATAATTTATTTATTTATTTGTATTCGATATAATCATTTTAGACATAAAAAAGGGATTTTAATGAAAAATTAAATCAGTCAAAAAAATGAACTCTGAAGAGAACTATTTTTTGCTAGGAGAAATATGGCATTCAATTTTTGCGATCAAATTATCTTAACAGTCGAAGTCAAGAAAAAATCAACTTAAGCATGTCGGGAAAAAGATTAATTAAAATAAAATTGAAAGTGATAAAATTTGTTAGCGAAATTCGCCAGATTAAGGCCAATATAGTGGTCGAATTTGCACGCTAATTTATCGGAATAGCGCCAACAAAAAACGGTCGAAGCCTAGTCGAATGTAAAACTCATAAAACTTTTTTATAAATTTATTAATAAAATTAATAAATTGATAAAAGTGATTAATTAGCTCTAAATTATTAATGATGAAATTATTGCTGATAGTCTGTAAAAAAGCAATAAAAAAATTGTAAAAAAAATGATAATTAGAACATAAATAACAAAAGACAAACGATGAGCAAATGCAATAAATTATCGCAGTGAGTAAAAAATAATTAATGAAAGGAGAGACATATGTGATCGACGTAAATTTTAAAATGAATAAAACAATCATTTAAAAAAAGACATAAATGATGGCGACTTGCAAATGTATGAAAATGAAAATTTTTGACGGAAGGCGGTAGGGGGGGGGGGGGGGGGGGGGGGGGGAGGAGGGATGAAAAGGGAGAGGAAGACTAGAAGGAAAGGCCAATTTTGAGCAACAACAAGTGCACAAAGAGGTCAGCGGTCATCTCATCATAAATCTTAGTTACACAATTTAATTCTTAGTTTTTCTCTCATTCCTTCATCAGTTCCTTTCATATTTATTCTTTATGATTTTCGTTTTGCTCTTATGAAACACATCCATCCAACTATTCCAACCATTCATTTATCCATTCATCCAGTCCGTCCGTCCGTCCGTCCGTCCGTCCGTCCATCCATCCTTCCATCCATCATTTCACTAAAAGCAAGCGATCTACGATTCTCTAACAATTCTCGATTTTGTTCTCGAATAGCTTTTCTTGCCTAATTGTATTCTCCAATAAATTGCTTTCCTCTGCAATCTTCTGAATTTTCTTCATTATTTCTCCCAAATATTCGTTAAAATAACTAATTATTTCTACTTTATGATAACATTCACTCGAGAAAACTTTTTTTATACATTTTACCATTGATTTGCATAAAAATTTATTTTCGCATCAGTGGATAATTTTTCATTAGAAAAAAAGATTCAAAGACGATGCAAATGACGCTAAATGACGGAGTTTCTTCATTTGTGGAACCTTTCTAAATAAAAAATAATTCTTCATTAATATGTATAGCTTTTTTAAATATTCGATAGCGTCGAAACATATTTCGGGAATTTCTTAATTTAAATCGAATGAAAACCAAAGAAAATTAAGAAAATGTAAAAAAGGATCCTTAAATAAATAAAAGCCGAAATAAGCCACTTTTTATTTATGTAAATTTTTTAGAAAAATATCCTAAAGTCGAATAAACCGGAATTATTGGATCGTTGGATTTTGAACGCGTAAATCGCACAACGATGGAAAAAGAAGTGGTTCCGCTTATCACTTTTGGGCATATAGCACAGGATCGGCAGAAGCATTGTCAAGCCAGTCAGATTTGAATCTATTTAAAAAAGAGAAGTATCTAATACTTATTTTTAAAAAAGAAAGGGTATTTTAAAAAAAGAAATAAATTATATTCGACAATTTTATAAAGTTTTTACAAAGTTTTTTTGTAAGTTATTTTTAAAAAACAAAATTGAAATAAGGAAACCAATAAAACTAATAAAATTTTATATTAGCAAATCAATTTAAATTGTGATAAATCATTGCAAATTTCTATTAAAATTTTTCAAAATATATAAATTTTTAAAAGAATACAAATTTTTGTTGAATAGAAACTTTATGACAATTAAAATTAAACGGCAATTGGTCTGAAAATTAAAATTCACTTCGCTTTCAAAAAATTCTTAAATTTATGCTTTAAAAGATTAGCTTAGAACAATTATTATCAGTGTTTCTTTTTTAAATTTTTTCTTATATCGACACACTTTTTTTTTCAATGAACGAATTCAAATCCATAAATGAAACAATGAATTCGAGATGGCATTTTACATTTTAAAACTGGATTTATCCTAAGTGTCTACGTGGAAATAAACGAATGAAATAGGAAAGTTGAGTAATAATTTTTAGGGAAAGTGGATAAGATGGTCGAGCAATTAAGGCTGAGCGATACATCAATTCTTTGCTTTCCTCTATTCCGATACTCGCTCGACGAAGGAGGTGAGTCGGCTGGTTCGATGTTATTCAACGGGAATAAACCTGTCAACACGCAGGTGAAATATAGGTGATCCTCACGATCCAGGTGTATTTCTATCCTTAAACGAACCCTAAGGCGAAAGAAATTTCTTTCATTCTAACAGTAAAGATAGTTAAAGCCATAACGATAAATTTAGCTAGGAATTTAGTGTTATGAGCGAAAATAATTTCTCCGACAAATTTTTTGCAACAATTCATAGATTTAATAGAAATTTGAAATTTTAAAAAAACACCAACATGGGAATTGAGAAAATTTTCACAAAAACAATTAAAGTAAATCTTTTAAAAAATTGATTTGTGAAAATATTTGGTGAATAAATTTTTAGCAAAAAAAAACAATGAAATGAAGAAATGAAACAAAAAAAAATGAATTTTTAACAAACAACAGTTTTTATATTTAAAATTATTATTTTAAACAAATATTTTTAAATAATTTCGATGGCCTCGTTATCATTAAAATTATGTATGCGACGAGACTGGTCGATTGGCACGGTTGCCTCAACCTACTTATCAGAGATTTGATTTTCTGATTATGGAGTAAGTTCGCCAGTAAAAACTTCGAATGCTACTCCAATCTAACTGCCGCCAAGTGGTTCCCCAGCAAAAATTCCTAACCAGCAATCAACTGATTTAGCCTGAACAAAAATGGTTAGCGTTTTCTCAAAATATGAAAATTAATCACAAATTTATAAATTTTTATCACATTTATTGAAAAAGTTAGCGAAATGATTGTCAAAAGTTATATATAAATATATATATCCCTTTACAAACGTGTAATTACGAACGTGTAATTTGACTCTTATTTTTGGTATTAAATTAATTCAAATTCTAATTTTCATACTAATTTTTAGAAAGATTTATTCGGTGTTTATTTTCCATTAAGGGAAATAAGCAAAATATAATTAGGAAAATTAATAAAACTGAATGACCCAGAATATCCAACTAATTACATTTTCCACTATATCTAATCAAAATGAATAAATAATTTTCTTCTTCTTCTAAGTGAATCTGAATAAAGGCTGAGAAAATAAATTCAATTCCATTCATTCGTTAATTTTCATTTCTAATTTTCATTCATGTAATTAATTATTGGTACATTATCTGCAAATCCATAAGATTATCACTGTTATCAGCAGAATAATTTATAAATATTATTTATTACATCCATCCGAGAAATTTGGGAAAAGCTATGGTCCTTCTGCATTTCTTGAACAGCCATATTACACACCATTTTATTTTCTTTGTACCAATCTCTTTTTTTACGCTTCTTTTTCTTGATAAAGCTACGAATTACATAGGTTTCATTCCTATAGTTGCTCTTCTTTTTTAATATAGAATAAATTTGTAGACTTATACGATAATTATCTATGATAATTTTTATTCTCAGCTTTTCTACTGATATCTCTTGTCAGCAAAAAATTTAAGGTGATAAAATAAATTACTATCGATAAGACTGACTGTATATATTGTTGATCATTGTTGAAACGAATTGTACATATTTAAGATAGCCATGATAAATTTTGTGAAGACAAATATGAATTATAAGCAATGTGAAAATAGAATTGGCGACATTTAAAGAATTAGAACTAGTATTGTATTTAAAATGTAAAAAAATTCATTTAAAAGAAGGCAAAAAAATAAAATTTTATGGGTTCAATCAAGCTCCAATCAATCAAAATGGCCGAATATAGAGAAAAGTTGATCATTGGCCAAAGGTGCATCGATGGAGCAAGGCTGCCACTGAAAATCGAGGCCTAGGTCCGAGTCGGGCTAATAGACTACTCTTCGTCGGCAATGTCGCCTAAAAGACAAATGGAGAATAGAATAATCCAGTGGGTTATTGATCAACTTCGAACTACGCTGAGGTTCTACTTCTGGCAGGAGCAACCCGCATTATGCTGGTGATTCACCTGTATTTCTACTCCTAGGGACTCCTTGGAATTGTTTCCAGCCCGACAAGTCAGCAAAATGAGTCTAACCAAAGATAAAATTAGTGAGCGACAACAAAATCTGTTCAGGATAATATCATTATAGAAACCATTATAGAAGTCAAAAGATTTAAAAAAATGATTGTTTAATGGGAAAAAATGATTAATGCGGTATTTTCCCTACTTTTGTCACGTGTATAATGAAACAACAAGTTGCTAAGAAACAATAAAACGATAAGAGAGAGAGAAGATATACGAGGAAAGAAACCAAAATATGATGCGAGGATCCTTAGTCTCCTTTAGGTGCAAAGTCACCTCAAATTAAAATATCCAAAAAAAATAAAAAATCCAACCAAAATCGCTTCTCAGTTCTCAGTTATATATTTGCGATGTGTTCAATTTTCTATCACAATTTATTTATTTTTTAAAATATTTTTCGACAAATATTTAGCATCGCTATTAATCACGAATAAAGAAATTCCTCGAGCCAAACAATAAACAAATAGATTAATTAAACGTTTATTTCAATTTCTAATTTAATTTACTGTCAAATAATGCATCAAATATTTATGTTTATAGAAATCGAATTAACAAAAAATAAGATAAAAGCCGATAAATGAACAAAAAATAGTCTTTTCTATCAATCGAAATTCCAAGTAATAATAAATTTAATTTTAAAAAATGCAAAAAAATTCTAAGTTTAATTTACTGGAGGAAGTTAAATGATATTTTGTAAACATCGAGAATTTTTAATAGAACGATGGTGAATATGGCTAAGGAAAAATTTAACAAAAGCTTAAAAGATTATTTATCTATCATGAAAAAATAAACTCACGTCGAATTCGAATCGCCATAAACAACATCATAATCTCCAGCTGGTTCAATAAATAAATCATCGTATGGCTTTGGTGGCATATCTGGCTTTGAATCTGACGCTTTCGTGGATTTAGGCAATTCTTTTATGGACTGATGAAATTCTTTAGCATTTGGCGTCGATTGATCTTTTAAGACTAAAATTTAATGAGTTTTAAGATGCGAAATATTTTGTCTATAAAAAAATTATTTATCAATTATGCATGAAAATAATAGTGATAACAACAGCAAATGATAATAATGATGATAACAATAATATTCATGATAACAATAATAATCATAATGATAATAAGAATTATTAGCAATGAAACGAATAATTTGAAGATAGACAGAGAATTATTAATAATTTAATAAAAAGCAATTTCTTAAATAATCAAAATTACGAAAAATAAAATTCCGTAATGAGAAAATTTTCGTAAAAAATTGGTGAAATTTATTTAAAAAATTGAGAAATATAATAATGGAGAAAAGAAAGCTTTTAAATTATTTTTCAATCTGCAAAGATGAAGAATTTTTTTTGATGAAAAAATGCCTTTTTTTGTGGCTTGTTTACTTTGAATTTTCACCATTTATTCATATATGCTTTTAAATATTTCAAACATATTTTTATTTAATCATTTAAAGCTAATAAAAATGTGGACATTATATCACCAAAGAGTCACTTGGAGGGGGAAACATATTGATAGACCCCAACTAATAATATTTTATTCTTTGGTAATAAGTTTGTCTTTATCAATGATTAGGAAAAATCAGGATGCGAGAAATTGAAAATTGAAATTAGTGAATAATATAAAGCGAATTGTACGATTTTTTTGAAATTCTTAAGAACTATTTGGTCGATTTTTTGAAAAAAACTTGACTAGCATAACATTTGATTTGATAAATTTTCCTGAATAGATTAAAGTAGGAAAAAAAGGTTTCCGGCTAAGTAGCTTAAAAATAGGCTTAAGAAACAACCTGAATAACCTGTTTTATGAATTTTCGTTCGGCATTAATTATCAAATAGGAATTGATTTTTATTTACAAAACTCTCCTAAAATTATACAAACTTGAGAGGTGATTAAAAAGTTTTAGAAAGAGAGAAAAGAAAATTTATAAGAAAATTTGCTAAATTCGTATGTAAAGTTCGTTACCTAGCAGAAATGCTTGTTGTGCAATAATTATAAATACCTAAAGTAATTTGATCTCCGATTGTAAAATAACTCGCCAAAAACGTCTTATATTAATAAGTATAATTTATAAATAGCAATACTAGAAAGCCATAAAGGACTTCTTAAATTACAATTTTTCATTGAGAAAAATGCAATGATAAAAATGATTGGCAATGGAATTTTCTGGCTGAATACCCATTATTGAATCGATAGAATTTAAAAAATAATTCGAAGCAATTAATATTGCTTATCATTAATTTCAAATTGTGGTGATAAAATAATAAAAATATAATTTTAAAGAAGTGCTTCGTCGAGGATTTCGAAAAGACGAACTAGAGGAGAATTCGATAGTGAACTACAGCCGTAGTAAATAAGTGATAATTGAATAATTGCTTTTGCTTATATAGCATTAGGCATAATTTTAAGTGGTCGACCTTCCTATAGAAATCATTGTTCAGTGGTAAATTCAATAAAATCGATGAGAAAATGGCAGAGATTTGGAAATGAGATTTGCGGTAAAAATTAATAATTTTGCCCATTTGATTGAGTTATATGCGATATTTTAGCAAATAACTGCCAAAATATGAAAATATGAAAATTTCAAATCTTTTTCTAATGCCTTTAATTTCAATATTTTCTCGTATATTGAAAATTTTTTAGAGCTCTTTTTGGCTTGGCTCTTTGGCAGAGAATCGCTTGGGGATGAATGCAAGTCCTCGAACTTCAACTTTAATGAAAGGTTTGCTGTTATCAACTGATAGGAATTACTGCTTCTATCTTCTACGAAGAAGTAGGATTCAATTTCCAATTTTCCTCAGCTCTTTTACATTTCCACATAGTTTCACATTTCCACATTTTAACTTTCTTCTTCATGCGATATCAAATTATTAAACCACTATTATTAAACATAATTTGATAATAATGGAGGTTCAATATTTTTATGTTCATTTAGGCGTAAATTAATGCTTTTTAGATCTTTCAACGTAATGGATTTCTTCGCAACAAATAAGTCCGATAATTTGTAGACAAAAAATCAATATAAATATTTTATTAAAAATTTTTTTTAATATTTTTATTTTGGGTGGCTGAGATTATTTGTCGAGTTTTATCGATATGGCTCGAAGGCATTCATAAAAATTTATAAAATAATTGAAATTTATACATTTAATTTATTTAATTTATATAAAAAAAGGAGTTTGGAAAATTTGGAAATTTTTTGAAAAATTTGAGTTTCACGGATCAGTTCTAATTGGGGACATGCAGAGGAACCTATTCAACGCCTCTGCAAAGATAAATTTGATTGGCTAAATATTCCTCGTTATAAATCAGTTCTTTGAAAATACTCTTAATTTACGGCGGATTATCTGGCGACTGAACAAATTAATCGTAAATTAAATCAAATTGTTCTTCGAATAACTTTTTTATTTTATTTAAACATGGAAATATTAAAAATTATATCAAATTTTCCAAACAAATTGTAAATAAATTTGCAGTAGATTTTAGAAAAAATAAAATTTTTGAATTTAGAAGATTTTAATTTTTATAACCGTTTAAAATGTTTTCAATTTTTCAAATGCGAATAAATATATCAGCTGAAAATAAATAATTGGTTCACTACGAACCATACCATTCATTCAAACCAGCATTCTGACAAAAATTTGGTACCATCCTGGACGTCATTCTAACCAGAAAGTGCCGTTGGAAGGAAAAGAAAGATAAATAATAGTAATAACATGGTTTTGAACCATTTTGGCTGGCTTTTTTTATCCTTCGTCAATAAGAGAAATAAAATTCGACTCTTTTAGAGAATTTATCGAATAAACGATAAACAATTGAAAAATAACGAAACATTTAAGGTAGAACTTCAAATCAATTTATCATAATTAGTTAAACTGATAATCAACATTAGCGATCAGAGAAATGAATGAGATTTGTCATTCGAAAGAGCAATAAAAATCCATCATTTTGAGTGGTAGCAACCGGCGATGCTTTTATCATTAATAAAGAAAAATGGCAAAAGCAGTAGGAGAAAAAATAACTAAAATAGTCAATTCCCTCGAGCTTCGATCGATGTTAATCGGGTCGCTTGGCTGACAGCTAACTAAGCCCTATATGAAGTATGTATATATTTTATCATATTGATTAATAGCCGTGTTGAGTATGTGAATATATCCAGAAAAACTTCTTAACGCTCTCCCTCTTATATGAATCTTTTCATCCTATTTTCCTCCATAAAACCTCGAATAAAAACTACAAATATAAATATAAAAATCATAAATTGTTAAAAAATTTCTGACTTCACGACCTATTACTTCATCAAATTCAATTGATGTTTATTAAACTGAGTAGTTAAATTCGCCTACGATTGAATTCACCAATCGTCACTAATTTTCCATTTAAAAAGTGATTTTTAAACGAAACGTCAAACGAGGAAATTTAAAATTGAGAAATAAAAATTGGAAAAATAGATTACAGAAAGCGGTCCTGACTTGGAGCTTTGGTATCATTCTGGATTTCAATTAAACCACGTCCAATATACAAGCAAAATTATTAATGATATATGAAATGATTTTTTGCCCTTAACAACACGCAAAATTTTTTAATTCTGACACGCCAAAAACTTATTATCGATATTAAATGTCGCAAGAAAATCCTTTCACCAGAGAATCGCTTTGGCGAAGGAAATTACAAACGATTGATCTATACGGTATTCTATTGAAGCTGACCGACAAATTATGTTTACATGACTGTCTTAGGAAATTCTTTAAAGATCTCAAAATAATGTGTTTTTAGGAATATTTACTATTCAAACTAAACGAAAAGAGATAGGAGGGAAGTTTACGAGAACCATTCAGAAAAGCTTTCGGAAATGAATCATAAGGATCGAAAAATTTTTTGCCAAAACTGTCCAGTCATTTGTATTATTATCAGCAAATAAGCGAATCTATTTTTTGATTTTATTTCTGCTGGAAAATAAAATGGCTCAGTGGGTTGTTGCTCAGTTCAGGGTAGATATACTAAAGTTCCACTCCGCAAGAGTAAGCATGTACAAAAATTCGGGTGATGCTGGCGATTTATCTGTACTTCTATCGCCGAGGAATTCCCTGGCATATTCGTCTAATGCGATAAAACCATCGGAGCGAATTTGACCAATAATGGTAGTGGTTGTTAAAAAAAATACATTTTCCTTATTTCTAAATTAAATCATAAATTGTCATCATATTCAATTAAATCATCACTGCTTTCATAATTTTTATGGATAAATTAAAATTATTTATCTTTAGCAATCCAATTATCCAAAATGAAACAAATGGTGATAATTTTCTCTGCATTTTTTTAAAGGAAAATCGGTGAGATGTTAAAGAAGACGGCATAAATAATATTTATTTAAATAATCCATAAATAATATTTATTTTAGCGTTAACAAATAATTAGAAAGATCAATTAGTATTTTATCGACCAAATGCACTAATTCACCAAATGCAAGTTCACCAACTCAAAATGGAACCACGGTGATAAAATAAAAATAATTTCTCTTTTCTATAAGCAAATAGTAAATAATAAATAAAAGAAATTTACAAAAAAAGAATTTTTTTCAGCCATTTTAATGGACATAAAAAGACAAATAAATTGTTGAAATCAAATTAGAAAACCTGAAAATAATCGAAAACTATTGCAAGGATGTGTTGAATTTTGAAAGGTCATTTCGTTAACATTAATATTGGGTGAAAAAAGCTTAAAGAAACGATGACTGTTAAGTAAAGAGAATTCATGATTCTTGAGGTTTTCTGAGTACAATTAGCTTGGATTAAGAGCAATTCTTCGAAATGATCCACTTTAATTGCAATGATTATTGCATTAATTGTTCGACATCTGACCAATGAATAGAATCGATGAACATCATCAGAATATTCGCAATAAACTAATAGAATATAATTTTAATATAACGTAATTAATAAAGCTAAAGTGAAGAATTAAATGCGATAGCTATTTTCTCCATGCATCTCCGTGAATCATGAAGAAATATCCTTTCTTTCGTTCATTCAAAAATTTACGTTTTTGACTATTGAATTGAACATAAATTTGAATAAAATATTTGTGAAAAATCATTCATACCACTTAAATGAACAAACTGAATAAAGAACAATTTTCGTAGATAATTTGGCGAACGATTTCGTTGAAAAACTTCTTTCTTTTTTTCATGTGCATCGCTTAAAGTACTATCGGCAAAAAAAAAGTATATATATATATGTAAATCATCTTCACATCTCTTGTGGATTACCCTCGACCAGGGATTCTATACCAGAGGCCTGAGAAATTGAGGTAAGGTAGATAAGCCTTTAGAGAAAACTCGCCAATGCACCATCACCTGGAAAGTAGAGAAGATTCACTGTGAATCAAAGCGTTGCTGTTGTTCCATTTCATAATTTACTATGCTATTTCGTTTGTATTTTGAAAGTTGAAAAGTTTTTTTTTTAATTATTAAAAGTAATGGATAAGTAAGTTAAACGTGAATATATTGTAGCTAAATCGCTGTACATGTACTTTTTATTTTTATAAATTTCTCATCAATAGATTTATCAAAGATTTTTAAGAAATATCGGCAAATTTTGATCAAATTTAGGAATATTAATTTAAAATGACATATGAAAGTATGAAATTTAATCAGTCTGAAATTCTGCTTTTTTTAAAATTTATCACTCTTGAAATTCGGAAACTTTTCGGAAATCCAGAAGATCCATAAAATCACCAAAATCCGTAAAATTTTCCGACAAAAAATGAAAATGCAATGAAATATTATAATAAAATCTTTCTTTTCTAACTATAAACTCTTTAACTTTTCTATTTTCCTTTGAAATTTCAAAGATCATATTCTCTTGAAAAAAAATGAAAAATTCAGTGCAAATTCAATTCAGTTTAGCCTATAACTTTAGGAAGGAAAATATTTATTAAAAATGAAATAATAATTTTAAAAAAAAGTGACATATACTGTGAAGCAAAATTTTTGAGAAAAATTTATTTCAGAATCAGATTTCTCATATATAATTCGTCTTAGCCATTAGGCAAAAAGTAAATCAAAAAAATTTTATTCCAAAAAATAAATTCTCCTTTTATATTCAATTTGTTGTTGCCTTTTATTCCTGTTAGGCAGCAAAAAATAATCAAGCGAAAGAGAAAAGAGCCATATAATTACTTATTATTATTATAACCACCACTATCCGAATGATAAAAGAAAAATATTCGTAATCGATGTGAACAAGATGACTTCAGCGATGACCTTCTAATATTTAGTAGAGCATGAATAAATATCTGAAAGAATTGAGGTCTAATTCTTCATTATTGGTGCGGATTAGTGTTCAACTATCAAATTGAATTTGATTAAACAAAACAAAACCGGAGGAAAATTTCTGAAGCATTATGTTTCAGTTATATATTTTTTTTAATGCATGAACTTCATCTCTTTTTTAATGCCGAATATATTTGAAATTATTAGTGTAGTAATTAGTGTTTAATCTCCTTCAGCAGCGAAAATGCCAATTATCGAACCAAGTAAAAATTATCGGCCAAGCTTTTTTTCACCTGAATGGAAAAAATAATGAATAATTTAGGATGAGCAAGAGTTCTGGAAATGCTATTACCTTGATTAGCACATTAAATAAATTTCAGAGCTATTTAAAAGAACTTGTGAGGCATTAAGTTAATAATCCTCATAAGTTAATAATCCTCATATATTCTAGCAATGAGTTAATTCTAACATTTTTCGAATTTATTCTTCTTATTTATTAACCATTTTGACTATTGTTTTTATCAATGTTCTTATTAAATTAATGAAATTAATGATAAATGTTGGACTCAGATGGTGATATATCGGTTAGGCTTAAAATAGTGACTGCAGTTGATATCAGGCACAATGTTGGATCAAGAAAGTGTATGGTAATATGGCCGGTGGGTCCAGCCAGGCCAGAAATAATACATGTTGCTATAATGTCTAGATAGATTTCGAAGGATAACTTTTAAATCCATCAAGATCTATTAAGAAATTTATTTCTAAAAAGAAAATATAAAGTTTTAGCTACAAAAAATTATAAGAATAAGTGAAAAGAAGAGAATTTCTTTCAAAATGTAACTGAATAAGTATTAAAATGAAAGCAGTTGTCTGATAAAAGTGGAAATGAAACTATTTCGATAAATACTTATCGAGCTTGTATGATATCGTTTTAAGATTCGTTAGCACACAGTATTTAACTTAACTCGATTCATCAGTTGTAAACATAGGATCAAATTTCGACCACTGCTGTAATTCCTGCTAACTTACACTAAAACAGAGAGGATTATTAATCATTTACCATTCAATAATCTCATAATTCTATTTGCAAACACTTCGAACATTTACAATATTTTAAAATTTGATAATTAAATTTTCCACTTCAAATTTTAAATGGAAAATCCGATAAGCGAGACGGAGAAAAAAAGAATTTAAATATGGCCAAAATAAAACAAATAGTAATAAAATACTAACAATAGTAAATAGTAACAAAATAGTAAAAATAATAAGAAAAATATAAATTTAAAAAAGACAAACTGCAAAAAAATGGTTTTAGAAAAAAAGGAGCGATTCAGTCTTGATTTAATCTGATAAGCAGTTAGAATAGCGGGCAATAAGTAAGAATATTTGTAGA